AAATAGGAAAAACCAAAGATTAGAATAAACCCTAGATGAAGCTTGAATTGATTTCTCCAAATGATTGCCAAAAGCTTGATGGAATCTCCTTGTGCCCTTCAATTTCCCATCCAAAATGAGCCAAGAACACAAAGAAAATAAAAGAAAAAGGAAAGAAAAGGAAGAAGATGAAGAAAAGTGGAGAGAAAACTAAAACTAAAAACTTAACAAAACTAAAACTAAAAAATAATAATACTAATCTATCCTATTCTAACCTTCCAAAAAAACGTGCCAAGCCATTAATATATAGGTGGCAAAGATATTTTGATAACTTAACAATTAAGTTATCAAAATATCATAGGAAAAATTGCCTCTAAGTCCCTGAACTTTTGGAAAGTGGCAAAATGGTCCCTCAACTTTGATTTAGTACAATTTGGTCCTTGAATTTTGACCTTCATTTCAGTTAGGCCCTTTATACATAACACTTCAAGTCCTTCAACTTTCAGGATTTTTCATTTCAGTCCCCAACTTCACCATTTTGTTCACTTTTAGTCCATTTTCATCATTTTTCGCTCCATTCTTCTTCTTGACGGGGTTTTAGCCTACAAAAGTGAAAATTACACAATTATGAATAGAAATATACTCAATATCAATTCTAATTAAATCCAGAAAAGTGTCGAATAAGTGTGTTTTTGCACACTTATCAGAGTACATGCTCGTAAGAGATTTTGCATCGACGATCGAGATAATGACATCAAACTTGTGGGAGATGGTCCTTTCCTATGTAATGAGAAGGTACTTGCAAAGTACGTTAAAGAACTTGCCAATTGGATGAAAATGATATGCTTATGGGAGATTGCATGTGCTTGGAAGGATTTCAACAATGGGGTACAATCCATTCGAAAGAGTCAACGAGATCGTCTTCTCATTGTCTGTGATCTAGATTGTGGATTGATCATTCAACCAAAAGATATATTGACTATGGAAGAAGGAATTAAAGAGAATGACGTGTTGATCACAACGAAATCAAATGCGGACGTAGCAATCAATGAGAATGAAATCAACTCACTTTTTTTCTATTTTATTGACTGTCCAAAAATTGATTTTGTGATTAAGCTCGATGTAGGAGTGGAAGTCTATATAGTTGAAATTGAATATGATGAAATAGAAAAGTCATATTACATCGAGAATGGTAAGGTAGAAGTTCGGAGATTAAACGAAAAGGTGATCAAAGCCAAACGAAGAAAAATGGGCAAGGTATACAAAGCTTTTTTTAGGTGCCCACGATTCAACTGCCAAAATGGAGCTAAACACTATTAAAAAAGCGCATGTTGGGAGACAACTCAAGCAAAAAGAAAAAGTTTGGGGGCGTGTGAATCATACGAGAGGTGAAATGATATTTTTGACCACATAGGGTTGGGAACTGAAGCAATTTGTAAATTCATGATTGTTTACTTAATTCTTCACATACACACGTCAGTTTTGCATTGGAAGAGTAGATATTAGTTTGAAATTTTGACTTTGAAACAGAGTGTACATTTAGTACTATAATTTCAAATACTAATAAAAAAGTTAGATTGTCTAACCAAATATTTAGCCTAATTGAGTCTTGGATGTCGAAGCAATCAAAAAAAAATTGGAGAATCCTTGTTTATTGATGTACTAAAGTCCACCCGAACTAGAGTGGGTGAGGATAGTTATTAAAAATTCAACCTTAGATTACACACTGAGAAAAGAGTGAAAAAGGAATAAGTTTGGGGGTGTGTGAATCATATGAGGGGTGAAAGGATATATTTGACCACACATCGATTTTGCATTGGAAGAGCAGATATTGGTTTGGTATTGTAATTTTGAAACAGCTTGTAGATTTAGTACTGTAATTTCAAATACTAAGATAAAAAGTTAGATTGTCTAACCAAATATTTTTGCATATTTGTGTGTTTGTTGTTATTTAAATTATAATTTTGTTGAGAACAAACAAATGTTTAAGTTTGAGAGTATGTGATGAGTGTATTTTATACACTTATTCGGGGTCTAAAATATCAATATTTGAAAATTCTTTTGACAAAATATATCCTAAATTGTTTTATAGATAAAACTCAATAGTTCAATGTGAGATTGAAAGAAAGAAGTGAAAATAGTGAAAAATGGCGAAATTGAAAGTTTGATAACCAAATTGCAAATTCAATAGTTAATTCGGATCACAAGATGATACTTTGAAAATTGTTAGGAGACTATTAGATGAAACTAGAACTCAAAAGGGAACGAAATATGATTAAAATCAATTTCCAATCGCACAAGTTATATTCCAGATTTTTAGTCGAGGATTGAGATCCATTTTTTGCATAATAAACGTTCAAATTGGGAAAACTCTATTTCTAGAAACGTAGCCATTGGAGTTAGATTTCCAACTCACTTTGAATTGCTTCAATTGGATATTGAGAGAGCAAATTATGGTCAAAATACTAATTGCTGTGTAGAGACAAAAAATCTGTGCGCGAAGATAACTTTCTTTATTCGATTGAAAGTCAATTTGGACGTAATTTTCAACCAATTTTTGACTTCTACAAATATTTAACAGCAAAATATGTATTGAAGAATTTTCATATACATCTTATACTTTAATATTCATCAATTATTATCATCAAAATAGGATAATTCATTTTTTTGTGAAAGAATTGAAGAAAATTTGCAAGAATTCAATCAAGTGAAGATTCAAACTTGATTTTTGGGTAAAGAAGAGAAGACGTAAGTGGAAATTCATTAAAAAAACCATTGAAGAGATTCAAGATTTCAATATTCATTTCTCAATTAATCAAAATCCGAATTATATTTTTTCACTTAAATATGATTTATTGTAATTTCAATATGTTACCCCGGTTCGAGCCGTATTGAAATTTTTATTCTCATTTTTCTACTCATTTTCAACTATTCATCTTTTAATAAAATAGTATTTTCATCACATCAATAACTTTTCTTTCTTTTTCAACCACACGTTCTCCATCAATCTACTATTCCTAAATACATTATTCCAAAATAATGTGGCTCAAACGCACCTTTAGGCTAATTTTATACATTGTTAGGAGGAGATGAACAATTGTTATGATATTTTTAGTTTTTAATTAATTTTTTGAATTTAATTTGATTTGATTTGTAGATATTTATTATCATTTTTATTGTTCTTTTTTTACTTGATCACAAATTGAATTGTTAGTGAATTTTATTATTATCGGAAGAGACAATGAGGTTTAAGCACATTATAATAAACATAGTAATGTTCGTTAGATGATAGAGATATACTTCTATGCTCTATATGGTTTCAATAAGTATTCTAGTACTTGTTAATTTATTGATCATATTTGCATCTTTCATCGAAAGATATAAATGTCACATGAAGGAAATAGATTTGATCGCTATCGAGAGAGACTTTCAATTAAATTAGGAATATTGACCAACATGAATGATTTCAAATTGTCACTTTAATTGTTACACTAAAAATAGATTAATAAGGGAAATTCGATATCTTAGCAATACATCTCACATATTTGAAAAATATATTTACTT